AAGGAACATCATTTTCCATTTCCACCAAGGTCACAAATTAAAATGTGGCACTCTCTAAATGACAGAATGGTCAAGTTGATTTTAAGATAATAAATGGACCCACAACTCTATGGCCAAATAAACTTTGAGAAAGGAGGAAAAAAATATCTAGTGGAAAAAAGACAGTCTCTTCAATACATGGTGCTGGAAAAATTGGACAGCTATATATAGAAGAATGAAACTCAACCATTCTCTTACACCATACACAGAAACAAACTCGAAACGGATAAAAGACCTCCACGTGAGGCAGGAATCTATCAAAATCCTGGAGGAGAACATAGAGGAGAACGTCAACATCAACCACAGCAACTTCTTTCAAGACATGTCTCCAAAGGCAAAGGAAACAAAAGCAAAAATGAACTTTTGGGACATCATCTAGATCAAAACCTTCTGCACAGCAAAGGAAACAGTCAACAAAACCAGGAGGCAACCCAAGGAATGAGAGAAGATATTCATAAATGGCACTACAAGTGAAGGGCTGATACCCAAGGTCTATAAAGAACTCCTCAAACTAAACACCCAAAAGAGATAATCATGTCAAAAAATGGGCAGAAGCCATGAACAGACACTTCACTAATGAAGACATACAAATGGCTAGTAGACGTATGAAAAAATGTTCATCATTAGCCATCAGGGAAATTCAAATCAAAACCACACTGAGATACCACCTTACACCAGTTACAACAGAAAAAATAAACAAGGCAGGAAATGACAAATGTTGCAGAGGATGTGGACAAAGAGGAACTCTCTTACACTATTGGTGGGAATGTAAGTTGGTGCAGCCACTTTGGAAAACAGTGCAGATTCCTCAAAAAATTAAAAATTGAGCTACCTTATGACCTGACAATTGCACTACTGGGTACTTACACCAAAGATACAGACATAGTGAAAGAAGGGCCATATGTACCACAATGTTCATAGCAGCAATGGCCACACTAGTCAAACTGTGCCAAGAGCCAAGATGCCCTTAACAGATGAATGGATATAGAAGATATGGTCCATATATACAATGGAATATTACGCCTCCATCAGAAAGGATGAATATCCAACTTTGGCATCAACATGGATAGGACTGGAGGAGATTATGCTGAGTGACATAAGTCAAGATACTTGATTTTCTCAGGGTTTCGTGGAGCATAAGGAATAACATGGAGGACATTAGGAAAAAGAAAGGCAAAGTGAATTGGGGGAAATCACCAGGGGATACAAACCATGAGAGACTGTGAATTCTGAGAAATAAACTGAGTGTTTTGGAAGGGAGGGGATTGGGAGGATGGGTTAGCCTAGTGTAGGTATTAAGGAGGGCACATACTACACAGATCACTGGGTATGGTGCATATACAATGAATCACAAAACACTGAAAAAAATAGAACAAAATTTTCATAAAAGATATTATCACTTAATTTTGTGCTCCCGACAATTTACACAATAATATGTCCACGTTTCATGGCTCAAAAAAATTATAAAGAATGAGAAATTTGAGTTTTAAACTGAAGCCAAGTTTTGTCTATACATAAGGAAAATTTCTTGTGCCATTTGCTCATTTATGTATTGATTCCACCAATACCTGTGAAATATCAATATAACAAAAATTGCTACCTTTCCGAACTCCTCCAAGATTCCAATTATTAATGTTTTGTTCTCCTTGTAAGGGAAGGGTTAAGTCTATGGCTTCATGCAGCCATTTTAACGAATCTTCCATGTTATAACCTTAGACATACAAATATTGTTTGTTAAGTCAGGGCTTTTATGCATTGTTTTTCCACTGTGACTTCACCAATCTTAGAGGAAATGAATATTTCTATTGTTACTTTGATAACATTTAAGGCCATGAGTCGCTTAGTTGAGAAAACACCCCATCTGGGATGCCTGGGTGGCTCAGTCAGTAAAGTGTCTGCCTTTGGCTCAGTTCATGATCCCAGTGTCCTGGGATCCAATCTCCCACTGGGCTCCCTGCTTAGCAGGGACTCTGCTTCTCCTTGTGCCTGTGCTCTGCACTCATTCTCTCTCTCTCGGTTTCTGACAAATAAACAAAAGCTTGGAAAAAAAGAGAGGGAGAAAATACCCCATCTATCTAGAATACAAAGCCATGGACCAGAGAAGCTCACCAAAGCAGATTATACATTATACAAAACATAAGAAAAATACAATGCGCAAAATGTTCTGCCATGGGGCGCCTGAGTGGCGCAATGGGTTAAGCCTCTGCCTTTGGCTCAAGTCATGATCTCAGGGTCCTGGGATCAAGCCCCCCATCGGGTATCTGCTCAGCCAGGAGACTTCTTCCCCCTCTCTCTTTTCCTGCCTTTCTGCCTACTTGTGATCCCTCTCTCCCTGTCAAATAAATTTTTCAAAAAATCTAAAAAAAAATATTCTGCCATTCTTCAAAAATAAGAAAACCAGCTTCACTGCAATAATTTATTTTCAGAAATCATAAGTTACAATATTAAAAAAATCGTCTCTAATTTATTTTACTTACTCCAAGCCACAGAAAACAAGTCCCCTCATTTCAATTGTGGGTTCCTTATTTCCTATAGCATGGGGGAATGACTGATTTGACCTACACTTAAATTCTTCAGACTTTGTATCCTAGTGAAATCCTTGGCTAATTTTCATTGTTTCTAAGTAGAAGTAGACAGTCCATTTTAACACTATTCCCATTAAGCACCACCATTAGAAAACAGCCCGAGATTTTAATAACCATATAGAGTCACCAGAGTATTCACAGCCAAGCTATAACACAGTGAAATTTCCCCAGAAAACAGACTCAATCCCAATATCAACACCCAGAAATCCATTGGTATTGCCAGTTTCTGGCCTATTTAAGATGATCCACAAGTGGCTGCTTAAAACAAAACAAGGGCACCTGGCTGTCTTAGTCATTAGAGTGTGCAACTCTTGATTTGGGGGGTAACTGTAAGTTTGAGCTTCATACTGGGTCTAGCGATTACCTGAAAATAAAATCTTTAAAAAATGCCCAAATGCAAAGTAATTCAAATTATGATGTTGTGTGATTTACAGAACACAAACCAGATAAACCTTGTCCCAAAAGTAGAATTATACAGAAATTACCATGTCCTGAAAATCACACAATTCACTGAGATTACGTCGACTTAAAAAAAAATGACGTTTGTTTTAGATTTTTATTCATTGATCATCTTACTGAATGTGAACTTGGTGAAAATTTGTATAGTTAATTCATTATCAAAAAGAAATTTGGAGTGCCTGGGTGGCTCAGTGCGTTAAAGCCTCTGCCTTCAGCTCTGGTCATGATCCCAGGGTCCTGGGATTGAGTTGGACATCAGGCTCTCTGCTTAGTGTGGAGCCTGATTCCTCCTTTCTCTCTGCCCACTTCTCTTTTCTACTTGTGATCTCTGTCAAATAAATAAACAAAATCATAAAAAAAAACAAATTTACTTCTTCAAATGATGTACATAATTTAAATGTATACTTGCTATTTGTTCTCTGAAGAAAACCCAACTGTTTTCTACATGTGGTACTAAAGTCAGCATCTATCAGCTCCTCAGACCTAGACCTACTGCTGATCCAGAATCCGTCATTCAAACTACACAAGCCCTCCTCGTAATTCATTTTTTTCTTTGTTTTAGGATTTTATTTATTTGAGATACAGTGAGTGAGTGAGAAAGTATGTACATGCTGCAGAGGGGTGGGGGAGGCAGAGGGAGAAGTGGACTCCCTGCTGAACAGGAAGCCTGACTTGAGCCAGGGCTTCATCCTGGGACCCTGGGATGATGACTTGAGCCAAAGGCAGACAATAGGCAGACACCACAAGAGTGTGGTTATTTGCGGGCACCCAGGTGGCACAATCAGAACACTGAAAGTAACCAAACAAAGTATGAGGTTATGAATATTCTAAAATTTCTGGCAGGGAAACAAGGACTAAAGAGAAATATCTATGAAAAGACTTACCCTCCCTGCTCCTTTAAAAAAAAAGGGAATATAATTTTTCTGAACCTAACAAAGCTTTTCCCTATAAACTACCACTTGTCATAGTATCAATACCCACGTTATTTATACACACACACACACACACACACACACACACCACATACTCCTTAACAAATTAAGATAGCTATTTAAGAATTATATCCAGGTATATTCAACTATCCATAGTACATTTCTATAAAGGCTTTTCCCAATTACCTGTTTAATTATTACTCAATTCCCTCATAACTAAAATAAGCAAATCAGAAGGATCTATCATAGAATGCCAATCACAGATAACAAAAGGTCCATTATTCACTCAAGTAAACATAAATAATGAAGAATAATTGGAGATTAAGGTCCTGATTCAAGAGAAAATGTATGGTACTTAGCAAATCAGTTCCTCTCTAGGGCTCAGTATTAACAACTACGAAATGTCACCTTCATCTCCTTAAATCACAGTCAAAACTTCTACATCTCCATTTAGGACTTAATAAAGATGCAGAAAGTAGTAACTTATTAAAACAATTAGAGTAATCCATCTGATGTATCTTTAGCATTCTGCTTAAGGTGTAACTCTCATTTCAAACTCATTTCAAACTCTCATTTCAAACCAAAGCAGTTTCTCAACAACAAACTAGAAATTTCTTATTCATATGTTAACTGGAGTTGCCTCATAGTTTGGGGACATGCTCCTGGGAAACAGATATAAGGTTCAAACTGAATGATGATAGTAATATAAAAAAAAACAGCAAAATATCTACCACATCATTACTCACTTGAAATTCCTAATAAAAAAGATCAGATATACAAATGTTACAAACACAGAAGACATTCTATAAAAGGAAACTGCAGTAGTGGAATTTAGAATTCACTTCCCTTTATATCTCTGGGAAAACCTACACTTCTATATTCCCTAACCTGCACAATATTGCTCCCAATACCTTCTGAAATTTACAGGCTAAGAACTTACGGTCAGGATATGTGTGTTCCAAGTACTTGGACTGACTCTTAGGCTGTACTTCAGAGTACTCATGCTGAGCCTCATTTCATCATGCTCAGTTATCATAACTCATCACAAACCCAGTTAAAGTCTTTTCCAACAACTACTACAACTCTGTAAAGGAACTGTTATCTGCAGACAGTACCTCTCTACTAATGCAAAGTCTTCTAGCTTAGGAAAACAAACGATCATCTTCCTGTAACAAGGTAAGTTAAATGGCAGCAATATCATTCAACTGACACAGAATAAAGGTAAAAATATGGGAAAAAAATTAAAAGACAGTAAAACCCCAGCAATGTGACAAAATAACATTAAGATCTTTGCTGTCTTAGTACTAAATATAATAGTTTATAACCTGCTTCTACAAGCAAATCACCTAACAAATTGAAAGAATGAAATATTTAAATATATTAAGGATCTAGATTACATTGAAAACATCTAAAAAAATATTCTCAAGTTAGAATCAATGTCAATGGTCAAATAAAATTAAGGAAAATCAAATAAATAAAACACAAAGTCCTACCAGTCCACTGATACATGACGTTGAGGATTCCGAAGGAGGTCTAACATTTCTAATACAAAGAACAAAGTCATATAATACAATACAAACTATCATGGGACGAACACAACAAAAACTACTTTTCCTGATACAGATCTCCTAATAGACAATAAGTTATTCCTATCAGGAATTGTACTTTTTAACTTTCTTTCTCTGTCAGGTTAAATATGTGATGGACGATTTATGAGTGTGCCAGTTATTATATAGAAGTGTACTATATGTTAACCAACTACCATTTAAATAAAAACTTTTTTTAATAGAAAAAAAAGTAACTAGGAGTACAAATAGATTTTATATAAGAACAGATATTACCATTTACATCGAAATGGATGGAATTGGAGGGTTATTATGCCGAGCAAAATAAGTCAATCTAAGAAAGACAATTATATGGTTTCACTCACATGTGGAATATAAGAAAAACTGCAGAGGACCATACTGGAAGGGAGGGAAACTGAACTGGAACTTATCAAAGAAGGAGAAAAACCAAGAGAGGCTCAAATTAACTACAGTAAACAAACTGGGGTTTGCTGGAAGGACATGGGCAGGGGGATGTAACTGGGTGCTGGACATTAAGGAGGGCATGTGATGTGATGAGCACTGGGTATTATACGGAACTGATGAATTACTGAACTCTACATCTGAAACTGATGATGTACTATAGCTTGTCTAATTAAATTTAACTTAAAAAATTTAACTTAAAAAATAAAAAATTTAACTTAAAAAAAAAAAAAGACAGTCCAATGATTGCAGATGTACAAATATCTCACCCCATGGGTCATTTTGTTACCCTTGTTAACAGTTAATCTAATACAAATGATTCATAATCATCAAATATCTGACTGGTCTTTGAGGCTTTTTATTGAATCTTGGCTACCTCACCTAATTTTTAAAATTATTTTGCCCACCAAAGAAAATTAATCCAGTCTAGTCTTCTACTAACCAATTCTATTCTACATTAGAACTTCCTAAATTAGAGGCAAAAAAACCCAAACATTGATGTTAGCAACATGGACTCCAGAGCAAAACTGAGGTGACACTCAATGCAGAAGACCTATTGGGACTATTTTTTTTGGTCTGCATCCCTGAGGATACCAGGGGCAAATGGGACATCACTTTTAATACAAGGCAAGTCCTTTGAGGTTTCCTCATCTATCATTTAAGAAATTGAATGAAGTATACTGCAGCCAACACCCAGCTGCTCCCCTTCACATTCTACTCACTTTTGGCATAGATGGACTTGCTGCATTTAATACCTGAAGTCATTAATCAACATTCACATCTAAAAAAAAATATATCCTTGGAACTGGATTTCAAATACTGCTCTCTTATTGGTCCTTCATCATCTCAATTAAGCAGTAGAGATCCTCTCACCCCTGTAAAATCAAACAGAATTTTCTTATTTCTACTCTTTGACCAAAAGTGACTAAAACGCATTGTAAACATCATGACAAGGTACCTAGCTAGCTTCATTAAAATAAGTCCATACAAACATATTTCTGACTGGCTCCTATTTAGGAAAACCTGACCACTTCTGCATTAAGATTATAGAGCTAAGGGTGCCTGGGTGGCTCAGTGGGTTAAAGCCTCTGCCTCCGGCTCCGGTCATGATCCTGGGGTCCTGGGATCGAGCCCCACTTTGGGCTCTCTTCTCTGAGGAAAGCCTGCTTCCTCCTCTCTCTCTGCCCGCCTCTCTGCCTACTTGTGATCTCTGTCTGTCAAATAAATAAATAAAATCTTAAAAAAAAAAAAGAATATGGAGCCAGATATTAGTTAGGCATAGATTCTAATCACAGACATTCCACTACATGGAAGGAACTATAATAAATCTTAAAAACTTGCACCTTAACATTTTTAAAAAGTTGGTAATGCTGACACATTTCTTTTTTATTAATTATTTTTATTAACATATAATATATTACTTGCCCCAGGGAATATATTACTTGCCCCAGGAATATAGGTCTGTGAATTGTCAGGTTTACACACTTCACAGTTCTCACCATATCACATACCCTCCCCAACGTCCGTAACCCAAACTCACTCTCCATAACCCCGTTTCCCCCAGCAACCCTGTTTGTTTTGTGAGATTAAGAGTCTCTTATGGTTTGTCTCCCTCCATGTGATAAGGTCTATGCCCACTGATCACTGCAGACAACTGAAGAAAAACAAAACCAAAATAAATTGTCTTCAAACACCAGTGGTGTCCATGTAAGGACACTTACCATACTCACTGCATTTTATAATACATGTTCCACAAATATTAGTTCCCCTCTTTCCTGGAAATGACTAATTTTGGCATTCTACGTTTGATCGAAGAGGTGGTTGTCTCCCTTTTACATGTCCTTGCTTCCATCTCAGCATGTGAGTGTGCCTTCTGGGATCTAAGGATGTTTCCTTTTTTGCTTTCAACAGCATACATGTTTAAAAAGAAGGGAAAAATAATAAGCTCAGAATATCTTATGAAAACTTAAGAAAAGATGTCTGAAGAATTGGCAATGTATACTGCCAATTTACACCTGCCATTTCTAAGTATTCAAAGCTTCCACAGTAAGTCAAAATATCTGTTGAAAATAATGTTCTCTGAAAAGTCTACTGAGGCACATTGACTGGATTTCAGAGTGTCATTTAAGCTCAAGTTTTGAAATCATTATGTTCAGACAAGGTCCTTTGTCATCATGAACCTAGCCAAGGCCTCTATAATACACTATTACTTTTCTTTACAAGGTTATTTTACCTGGAATGATTTTTGTTTGTCCTAAGTGCAGCTAACACCATTTTCAGCTTCCTTCTGATACTACTGGGTAGGATCCAGTGACAGGTCAGAAAACTGAGTGGTTAAATTCTCTCCTCGTTTCAGAGTCATCAACTATGTGGGCAAAAAAGACCTTATTAAGACCAAAAAAACTGCAATACAAAAAAAAAAAAGATTAGAATATGACCCCAAAGAAATAAAAAATTATTTTAAAAAATGTATCTTGCTTTACTTATTTACTATAATTCAAATATTAAGCTTTATTATATGAATGGCCAGTCGCAGGGAACTGGAATGTAAAGATCAGTAAGAATCTGGCAATGTATTATCAATTGGATAACATGTATTTGAAAACTTCATATAATCTCACAGAGGGTGTAACTGACTACTGGCTGAAATCAGTTAAGATTTATTGGAAATGAACACAGTAAATTGTTTTCCTGATCTCTGAAATCAGATTATGTAAGTTCTAGACAAGTATTACTATTATTACATAACTCTGTAAGTTAGTTTCTACTACAGTATTATTCTAATGCAAGTTAAGACCTACAAGAAATAAAACAGCAGTTAGGTTTACAAAAATTACAAGACTTCTGGGCAACCCCCTTGGCTCCCCTCCCTCCTTAGGATCTTTGTATTACCATTTGTTATCACTCAATAAACCCTGCATTGTTACCCAAAAAGAAAAAAAAAAAAAGTCTTCCGGTATCACCTGCATGTGAATTCCGAAAAAGTTAAACAGACTATAATGGTGGTTGCCTGGGGCTGATGTGGTGTGTAAAATGGAGATGCTGGTCAAAGGGTATAAACTTTTAATTATAAAATGATTAAGTTCAAAGGATCTAATACACAGCATGGGAACTATAGTTAACAGTATTATAATATTCGAAATTTGCCAAGAGTAAATCTTAAATGTTCTCATCACAAGAAAAAAAATGGAACTATGCAAGGTGATGGATGTGTTAAATAACCTTGTTGTGGAAATCTTTTCACAATAGAGGTGTATAGTAAATCATCATGTATCATACCTGAAAATTACATAGTATAATTTTTCAATTATATATTGATAAAGCTGAAGAAAATTACAGGACTTATAAAATTTTACATGACTGAAGAGTAATGAGTGTATGAGGGCAGGAAGCCACATCACTTTTATACATTTTTATATGAAGTCCAGTTTACCTATCATATCATATAAACACAAAATACTACAAATAACTCAAAATCATAAAGATTTAAGGTAACATTAACTATTAAATCCCAGAATTCTATTTAAAATTATTATTTAAACCACAATGAAAAATCTGTATTATGTGCTATATGTATATATTTATGAAATTACTGCTAATAAATGTGACTAGGAAATCAAGAAGTCATTTCCCAACTGTGCTTTAGATATAATGTGTAATTCACGTGAATAAGAATGGGATAAAACCATAAGGGACAAGTATTACTGCCATGAATGTTTGAAAACTCTTATGTCATTATGTGTTTACAACGGAACTATGTAGAAGCTCAGATCTAGCAATCCATAACAAAAGATCCACTTTCATCTTATACTCCACATGCAATTATAGGAGTATCTGTGCCAAGTATTTTTTTCAATATGTGTTCCCAAAATCAAGGTTATCAAACAACTAGGGACATTCTAGGAAAAGAATATTACCACCAAATCAAAACACCCATTAGAAGTAAGCATCTTGCAGAATCTAGAGTTCTTGTCACTTACCTCTACCTTGCAAAAGTAACCATCAACTTTACTTAAGGAAATATG